TTTCGTGTCTTCTCCTTCCGGGCCTCTCTCGGCGTCAGGCTCCTCAGCCTCACCTCCTGACTCGCGCGGGTGATCCGGGTAGACCTTGTTGGGAGGAGCCGTTCTGCCAAATATCGAGGTCCTAAACCATTTTTAGGTTTTCTGGTTTTTTTAGTTTTTTAGTTTTTTTAGTTTTTTAGTTTTCCTGTCCCACTTTCACACCTGTACATGGTGATTGAAAATGTAAGAGATGTATGATCTTGATCTCCAGTAACACATCCTAACATTTGATGATCTTTTTTAATTCCACTGGCCACCTCCAAATAGCTCACATCCATTTAGATTTCAGGTCGAGCATCAGCCCTACATTTTCAACACTTTTTATGGGCTGCAGGGTTGGAAATGCCTCTCTTCTTCAATAGTTTGCCATGAGGACCTGCAAACATAGATGAAGTTCATCCATTCTGTAAGGTAGCAACTAGAGAAGAAATTAGAAAGGAGACTTCCATGTTGTTGCTAAGGCAACAGAAGGGTAGCAAATCCTTAACATGCACATTGTGGGAAAGGAAGAGAACATGGTCAAATTGCTAAGGCAACTGGGTGACTCTCCCACTTTCCTGTACTGGTTTGGGAGCTTCAAGGAAGTCAGAGAAATGGCAAACTGACTTTGCTAAAGGCCAAATTTGGCAAAGTTCCCCCCCCCCTTTTCCAGTCCTGTCTTCCATCAAAATTTGTACTTATTTGTATATGAATTATTTTTGGGTAGCTTTTTAACAATTCCCATTTTGGAATACATGCCCAGCATCTTTGAAGACAGTAGCCACATACATGTGCTGAAAACAGTTAATTACACATAACTGAAGCATGTTTGCTGAAGATACATTTTACACTTTAGAAATCTGTGCATATACTGTTCTGAAGAATATGGTTGGGGTTTCTTCTGTGAAACAGCTTGCAGATCCAGAAATGCACACATATATGACCCCTGGTACTTCATTCCATTCCAGCAATGTCAGAATGGGCAAATTCATTTTAAAAAACAGTACAAATTTGTCACACATTCAAGCTAAATGCGTGGAACCTGTTATTTTTACCTGTGACCAACACCCACTCTGTGAAACAAATAGATCAGCCTTCTTCACTGCTTAAGTTTAGTAGCTGATTTGCATCTTTCCAGTTTGTGATGCTCGGTATTTTTTATAATCTGGCTTGCTCTCCTGTCTTTTAAGTGGTCTACTGAGGCTTTTGAAATCATGTAAATGATTTATTATCTTATTACTGCTGTGTATTTTTAACTGCATAAAAATATGTAAATTGCCTTGAGTATTTTTTTTTATGGGACAGTGTTCAATCTTACTGTGTGAATAGAGGAATGCATGGCATGAATTTGTGAGTGAAAGAGTATCTGAATGAATGAATGTGACTTTTTTTCCATTGTTTCTTTTGAGATTTGATCACACTAGGTTTGATTGATCCAAAGGGAGGCTATCCTTTCCTTCTTTCTGTATATCTTGCTTTGTCTCTGCCGAGCCCAAGAAGAATAAATCCTTGGCAAGGACTGCAAGAATAATACATCCCATTTGCCTTGTCTTTCTCTTCAGAGCTGTGGGTAAAACCTGCCTCCTGATCAGCTATACCACAAATGCCTTCCCAGGAGAATATATCCCTACTGTGTGAGTATGATATAGGTGAGGGGCGGGAAAACTCAGGAGGGACGAAGACCGTTTTTCCAATTCAGTTGCAGCCTGGCAGCCACTCACCCAAGGGGCAGAGCTAAAGCAGAGGCCTGTGGCCAAAAAGTCTGTTTTGCTTATGTCGTTTTGGTGTCATTTGTCATGTCTGAAATGGAATGGCTGCGTACTATAAAGGCAGCTACTATTTATTTTTGTTAACAAAAAAAAAATGGGTTTAAATATTTTTAAACAAAAGATTTTTCTACCGAAAATGCTGTCTTGTACCCTATCATGGCCAAAACATTTGTTTTAATTCTTTGCTTTTAAACATTGGGGTTTGGACAGCCAAGAGGTGCTGAAGATCCCTCAAATTATGCACAATCCCCCTCATCCTCAAATAGTTACAAGGGTGCTTTTCAAAGCAATTTAAAAAAAAATTAAAACTTTTTTTGGATGTGGGGAGGGCTAGGTGCTGCAAAAATGGCTGCCCGTGTCCCACAGTTGGTGTTGGTGGGGAATGGCAGAAGATTTAAAGAATAGGAACCCGGAATTTGGAAGAATAGATTAATTTGGAGAGTTGATGTCATTCCTTGCCCACTATACCTTTTGAGCAAGTACAAAGAAAACTGTACAGTATATGGTCAGTGGCTCAAGGAAACACAACACGGCCCAACTTCATGCTGTGAATGCTGAATGGGAAAGAGGCTAATCAGGGTAAGCAAGACATGTTTGCTTGTTCTTGAAGTCATGCAAAAAGCAATGGCAGAGGAACAAGACAGTGTTCCCGGGTTGTGCTATTTCAGACTGTACGTGGGGATTTATATTTTGTCAATGCATTTGTTTAGTGTGGACTCTGCATTGTAGAGCAAAGACATAGTCTTCCAGAGGTTGTTGGACTACGATTCCCATCATTGTTAGCCAACATAGTCAATGGCGAGGAAGGCTAAGAATATGTATCCAAGAAAATGAGAAATACTTTTGCCCACACATTCTGTAGAGGATTAGTTTGATATAGGTATAGTACTCAGGGAGTTTTTTGTGGGGGAAAGATTCAAGATATGTGAGCAGGGCTTTTTTTAGGTACAGCCGCCCAGCTGTGGAGCGACTTCCCAAGGAAAGCTAAATTGTATTGCTTAAAACTTTAAGGAATTAACATATATCTTCGTTACAGATTTGATAACTATTCTGCCAATGTGATGGTCGATAGCAAACCTGTAAATCTGGGACTCTGGGATACAGCTGGCCAGGAGGATTATGACCGCTTGAGACCGCTCTCCTATCCCCAGACGGTGGGTTACTTTAAGGGAATTTTTCTTGCCACCTTCCCCAGTGTATGTTTGCTGGATTTCATCTGATACTCTGCATTGCATGAGAAGTGTTTACAATCTAATGTTGTTGGGAGGTTTTCAGAACTTGGGAAAATTATTTTGGGAGGAGTCAGACAGTGTGACATCCCATCATATTTCTCTGTCTCTGATATCTTTTAAAGGCCTAAAGAGACTCATTTCCTAATGAAACTGGAACACCTTCAGGTCCTTCAGGGAGGTCTTCCAGTGTGTCAGGAGCTTCACATTTCCAGCTCTGGCTGTGAAGCTTTGGGCAGAACATTCTAGGGCTCTATTCTACAAAACAAAGAGCATGCTGGCTTGCTACATTTTAGCACATTGCCATTCAAGACATTAAGTTAATATCATGTTGCTTAACTGTAGCACTGAGTTCTTGGGCACCAGCATGCACAGCCTTGCTATATACAGTGGTGCCCCGCTAGATGATTGCCTCACATGACAAGGAATTCACTAAACGATGGGTTTTTATGATCACTATTGCGCTTTGCAAAACGATGGTTCCCTATGGGAGATTTTCGCTAGACGACGATTTCTCCATTGGAACGTATTGAGTAGCTGTCAATGCATTCCAGTGGGGAACCGCGCTTCGCTAAACAATGCTTTTGCAAGACAGCGATTTTGATGGAACAGATCATTTAGCAAGGCACCACTGTGTCAACATTATGTCAGAACAGGATGGCGAGGGAAATGGGAAACAGAGGATCGGAGTAAACAGAGCCAGCTCAAGACATTTTTTTTTTTGCTAGAGGGGGAAAATAGTAAAAATTTGAGAAGGCCCTTTATAGATCATCTAAAATCTGCTGCCTGGGTTAGACCAATTTGCCCTAATGCTAGGATTCTCCCTAGCTTTGAAGAATAAGAATGTCAGGATGAAACAAGAGAATCTGCTCAGCATATATTTAGAAGCAGTGCTCCCTGAAGCAGAGAAAGGCATCTGCTTATTGTAACATGAATATTCCCACATTTCCGTATCTTGCATTTACCCATTATTTGGTTTACGATTTATCATTGAAAGGTAAACAGGAGCTTACTTTTGAAGATCTGATTGCTAAGGCATGCATCTCTAAAGGAAATGCTGTTACTAGAGAGAACATGTTTAATTGCCAGGAGCATACATTACCCTTCACATCAAATTTGGCCTTACAGAGTGTTACCCGTGAGAAAGATTTTAATAAAATGTGTTGAACAGGTCAGCAGTTTTACATTTTATAAAGAGATCTAGCAATGGCCCATGGGTGATGAATGCGGAGCTACTGATGCATCCCAAGCCTTGTACAAATGATCAGCATGTGAGAAGGGTGTGCTTTTTTTCTGGCCTCAAAATTGTTACATGCCTTACAGGGCTGTTTTAAGGCTTATTAAGATGGTGTGTGAAATGCTTTAAGAACTTGGACAAGTGCTATATATACAGTTCACCTGTATATAAACATCTGAGTTTTCCTGAATATTTTATCAGGCCTGGTTGTATAAAAAAAACAGTTGATGGAATTGACCAGATGTCTTGTAAGAATTCAGTCTCAAGATTAAAAACAGGAAAAGCCACTGGTAGATTGCAGGAATCAGGTAGAGATCTCAGATGAGACCTACTAATGCATATTGGTTGTGGGAGCTGGGTGTAATCTGGTACCTCCACACCTCCTAGTGTCCCCTTTAGTATGAAATCTCCATTTTAGGGTTCAGTTTAACTGTAGCCCTCACAGCCGTAATGTTATCGAGCCACCTTTTTTGAGTTCTCTGCTTCTATTCTTGTCCTCCATTTAATGTTTATACCACCCAAGCTTGGGAAGAGTTTTGGAGAATTTGTAACACCCTTTTGTGGAATATTAATTGATCCTAATGAAGGTACTTCCTGTGTATGGTATTTGGAGTGGGTTTTGCTTGTTCTCATGGATCAATGCATCTACTTTGTTTTCATATTTGGCCTTCTCTTTCATGACATGGGAATCTCTGACAGCATGAACCTGTAGTGTGATTTTTCAAGTGTGTGTGTTTGTTCTGTTCTTCACCTCCAGGATGTCTTCCTCATCTGCTTTTCTCTGGTCAGCCCTGCATCGTATGAAAATGTCCGTGCAAAGGTGAGACCGCATGCATTTGTGCTGAGGAGAAGACGGTGTGCAGATCCCATGAGACTCAGGTTGATGAATCCCAGTCAAGGTGTCGCTTGAACCATGGAGAAACATAACATGGTCCTAAAAACTTTGATTCCCTGTGGTTCACAATATTGGCCAAACTGCAGTCTAGCAAAATGAATCTGGAAAAAAATTGTTTGAGTTGTTTTTGTTCTGGCCATGCTAGTAGGTGGCTTTTTGGGAATCATCCTCCAAAAATGATTTTTGTAAGCCTTGTCAGGCTTTGATAGACCTCTCATTCCATTGCACCATCATGAAAGACATTTCCATTGTCCTTACCATCCTGACTTAAAATCCACCAACAATCAGGAAGACACCGCTGGTAGAACATTTGGCCCTCCAGATGTTGCTAACTAATTGCAGATAACTACACTACTTGTCACTGTTGAATCCCAAATCTGCAAAGCTTTGCTCATAAACACTGAAATATGAACGTAGCGTATTTTTCTGTGTATAAGACTATACTTTTGTCTAAAAGTAGATAAAGTTGTCTTATACACAGAAGTAAGCTGAGGAGAGTACAAAAACAAGTGGAGGGGAAAGCAGGGATCAAATTGTTCCTGCAGGGCTTTTATCCCTACTTTTCCCTCCACTTGCTAATCCTTAGCAAAAAGAAAGCAGGGATCAAAGTGCTGCAAGATTGCTTTGATTCCTGCTTTCCCCTCTTGTTGCTAAGTCCCATGGGGCTTAAGAAAAGGAGGGGGGAAAGAATCAAAGCAATCCCGTGGCTGTATAAGGGGGAAAGGGATCAAAAGGGTTGCTTTCATCCCTTTCCTCCTCCTTTTGCTAAGCCCCATGGGGCTTAGCACGAAGGGAGAAAGCAGGGATCAAAGTGATATTGCATTACTTTGATCCCTTTCCCACTACACTTGCTAAGCCCCACTTAGATTTCTTAATTTTGGCTTAGAAAAGGGGGAGCATCTTATACATGGGGGCATCTTATACACAGAAAAATACGGTACTTCTCTGACTTTATACAGTGCTGGGGAAATGTGTGACTCTGCATATGCTGTTGGACTGCAATTTCTATGCCCTTTGACTATTGGCTTTGCTTCCTAATATCCCTGCTTCGATTCAATATAGGTTCTACATATATAATAAGATTACAGATCTGTGACAGATTACAGTAAAGAGCTCCTCAATTGGCTTTGCTTCCTAATATCCCTGCTTCAATTCAATATAGGTTCTACATATACTGTATAATAAGATCACAGATCTGTGACAGGTTGCAGTAAAGAGCTCCTCGTTGTGCACTTTAAAATCCTTGAACTATTGCCATTGTAAGAGAAGGAATCCTGGGTAAGATGGTGATCTAACCAGCAAGGAAATCCTTTTCTGAAGTTAAATGTGTTTGTTGGATAGACTGCTCTACAGATACAAATGGCAACCTGTTTTTATTCCTCCCCCGTCTCCCCTTTTTTGTCTCCTCTTGGATATTCCTCCAGTGGTTCCCTGAAGTGCGACATCACTGTCCGAGCACTCCCATGATCCTTGTGGGAACCAAGCTGGATCTCCGGGATGACAAGGATACCATTGAGAAACTCAAGGAGAAGAAGTTGGCACCCATTACTTACCCACAAGGCCTGGCACTGGCCAAAGAGATTGGTAGGTAATGGTTGAGGAGGCAGAACATCCAAATACAACCTGCATCAATTAAAACTTAGAAGGAAGACACAGATACATGCTTCTGTTACAGTTCTACATCTTTGGTTGGAAGACAGGGTGTCTCCTTGATATTCAACTACAGAAATGTCTCTGTATGTCCCAAAATTTGATTTCCTTGAAGCAGTCCTGCCTCGCAAAATATTTACAGACAGGGCCAAACTTTATGAAACAATTGTTGTTATTCTGTGCCTTCAAGTCGCATCTAGTTTATGTTGATCTTAGTAAGGTTGTTAAAATATGTGAGATATTTAAGGAGTGGTTTTGCCAGTACCAGCCCCCAACATGTTTCCAAGGCCAAGTGGGGGATTTGAACCCAGTTCTCTTGAATCCTACTCTGTCGCTCCTATCTAATATACCACACTGACTCTCTGTGAAACAATTAGTGTATCATTAGAAGCTGGTGGTATGTTTTCTCTCCAGGGTCTTAAATTCCCTCAAAACTAATAGCACATCCAGAAATAGCCTCAACAGTATTGATGCATTTTATTAACTCTGGTATAGAAAATACATATCTAAGAATAAGCAAAAGGTCATCAGCATGAAAATGTTTATTTTCATATTTGTAATATATAAAATATTCATGTTTCCCAGGTACATATGCATGAAGATGTACATTGTTTTCATGTGTTTTGCTTGATAGCTCAGATCTATGTGCCTTGACTGTGAGGAGTTATTGCTGCTATTAGAAAGATCTCTCTTTTTTTGTCTCTTCTCATCCAGCTTGCTTCTTGCCTTTCATGATCTGAAATGCTGTTCAGCCACAACTTCCTTTTCCTGCCCTGCCCTGCAATTTGGGGCTTTGTACTAACGGATGTTCTTTCTTAAGACCCCTTTGTCTCACTTTACACACACTTAGTCTTTTCGTGTACAGAAAGGGAGAAATTTGTTTAGTGTGCCTTGTAATGGGAACTTACCTAGATTTGTACAGTATTTCCAAATCAATATCAACACTAATCTGTCACAGAAATTGACGTTTATCTGAATTCTACCACAGAGTTTTACTATCAACAGATGAGTACATAAATGCGTATGTTAGAGAAAATGCATAAAGTAGTGTAAATGCATGTAATAAGGAAAATTGCAGACAAAAATATGTAAAGAATAACATTAAAATGTATTGTATTAGGAGACTGGCTTGCAAAAAGGCATATATATTACATAATATTTCAAATGTGCATGTATTAGATCAAGAGATATGCATGAATTTTCATGAGAACTTAAAGTTCTCAGTATTGAGAGGGCAGGTATTATATGTAAAGTGCTTAGCAATTGTATAGCATGTTTAAAGAGTTCAAAGGTTTCACACCCTGGCCTTTAGGTTTGGACATCCTGAAAAGACAAAACTTGGCATGACAAGAATGGGCCTTCTTGTGGCTTGCCCAGAAGCTTCTGGTTGGCCACTGTTGGAAACAGGATGTTCGCCAAAACAGGCTTTGGGTCTTATCCAGAAAGGGCTTCCTTATGTCTCTGGATGCCAGATCACTCTGGCGACGCCAGGCCTGGCAGGATGGCTGGCCAAGAAAAGTCCTGCACTGCTTGCTTTCTTGTCTTTGCAGAGGCAGTGAAATACCTTGAATGTTCAGCACTGACCCAGCGCGGCCTGAAAACTGTGTTTGATGAGGCCATTCGGGCAGTTCTCTGTCCACAGCCTACCAAGGCGAAGAAAAGGGGATGCAGCATCCTCTAAAGGTAAGCCATAAAAGGCTGTTTACTTATGTGTCCAGAATGGCTCAATATTAACCCAATTCCTTACCAGAAATTAGGAAAGTTACTTTTTTTGGACTAAAGCTCTCATAGCATGGGCTATGCTGCCTTTGCAATTGTGGGAGTTGTAGTCCAAAGATAAATAAATAAATTTCCCACTGTCAGAAGCTAGATTTAATGATCTATATGATTCCTTAAAGCATTGCAGATGCTGGAAGGGACCCTATAGATGCCCCTCATTTTTGGGCCTCACCATGCCTCAGAGCCCAGGAAACATGATCATCCTATTCTAAGGGGATCTGTCTTCAACCTTATCGTGGTTGCCATTTTCCTTCTCTAACCTAGTGCTGATGTCCCAGCATTAAAGATCTAAACCTTGGAACAGCCAAGTCCTTTATATAATTAAACAAAGTCTGGATCTTAATACCATCTTAGAAATACATAAATATGGAATAAATACGGTAGTTCTGTGTTGAGCAAGAATGGGAATCTTTGGTTCTCCAGATGTCTTCAGCCAGTGGTTTCCAACCTTAGGCCCCAGATGTTTTTGAACTACAACTCCCAGAAATCTTGGCCAGCACAGCTAATGGTGATGGTTTCTGGGAGTTTTAGGCCAGGGACATCTGAGGACCCAAGATTGGGAACCACTGTCTGAAATTACAACGCTCACTAGCCTAGGGGGGAAGGCTGATAGGAGTTGTAAACAAGACCATACAGCTTCACTCCCAATGTAGAGTCTCATCTGTGACAGGCTTCCAACCCAGGATCCCAGCCATTTTGTGATTTTCCCCTCTTCTTTTGTCCTGCTCTTCACTCCCCTCCTCCAATACCCAGCATTTTATGGCCTCAAAACTTCCTGAGTTCTTATCAGACTGTTTTGCTTCTGTCTTTCTTCAGTTCTTTTTATATTCTTAGAGTGCTTACTTGTCACTTTCCCCAAGCATGCCAGAATTTTCTTCTTGGTGGGTATATTAGGGTTGCAAATTGTGACTTGATTTATTGATTTGTTGACTGATTGACTGATTGATTAACTTAGTATTCCACCAATTCTCGAAGGCTTTCATGTCCAGGATCTGATGGTTGTTGTGGGTTTTTCGTCCTCTTTGGCCATGTTCTGAAGGTTGTTCTTCCTAATGTGTTGCCAGTCTCTGTGGCCGGCATCTTCAGAGGACAGGAGTCAGAACTCTGTCTGTGCTCTGGTGCAGTTTGTTTGGATAATTGAGTATTTATAGCTTCAGAACACGGCCAAAGAGACCGAAAAACGCACAACAGCCATTAGTATTCCACCTTTCTACTTTGCAGAATCCAACACAGCTCACAACAAGAACCTGAAAAAAAAACCATATATTCGTTCGTTCGTTTTCGTTTAGTCGTTTAGTCGTGTCCGACTTTTCATGACCCCATGGACCAGAGCACGCCATATGTTACAGTATAAAAGTATTATTGAATAAGTTATAGATGAAAGCCTTATAGAACCATTTTAAAATATTTTTAAAACAAAAAGAAAACAACACCCACCCAAATTAAAAGGTTCTCGTCATTCGCCAAGAAGTATCCTTGTGTGCTGTGCTAAAAGAAGAAGGGCTTACAAATGTTCTGATCACGTCTATAAAATGATATTCTTTTTCCTATTATAGAATCTGCAGTAATGATTATTGTGCATTTCTGTAAATGCACAAAATTTTTAAATATGATCATTGCTTCCCTGTTTCCTGAACTATGAAAAACTGAAGTTTTGAATGGCTTGTTTGCATCCTTTGGACCAATGAGCTTGTCCTTTTATGCTTCCTCTGTATGTGCATATGTGTGCATGTGTGTGTGTGTGTACTTACAAGGGAAAAGGCACTAGAGGCATTTTGTATGAATTGCACAGAGGGAAAATTGTTTGGAGCTTGCTCTCATGCTGAAGGTGAGATTTCTTCTGGGTCTTGAGGATTCTCAAGACTCTCAGATCATGTCAAGAGAGCCTATTTTGGTAGTAAGTGAAACATATGCAAAATTTCTTCACATCCCTAGTGTGGCTGGTATAATTTTGACTACATAAGCCATAGTATTCACAGCTTGAACAAAAGAAATTGAGAAGATGATGTATGAAAGGGAGGTTCTTCCCCAGCCTGCATTATTATCACTTCCCTACCATTGCTCATCCTTAACCTTGGTCGGGAATGAACACTGTCCTTATATAGAAATTCCTACCATTGCTTTAACAACTAACCTGCTCTTCAAAAACTTATTTTTTGGATTATAATTTCCAGAACTACCCAGTCAGCATTGTCATGCTGGTTGGGGATTGTGGAAATGTACTTAATAAAGTAACATTTCCAAGTTCTGCTTTTAACATAAGAAGATGCAATAACTCACCTAGCTAAGCAGTAATCAGCAGCAGGCAGGCTGACGGCTGCCATTTCCTTCTGCTCTCTACAGGTGGATTTCTTACTAAGCAGGTTGTTCGCAGGGCTGCTAGCTCTCAAGGACTGAGGGCAAAGAAGCCACTGCTTTTTCATGGGCCTCAAGCTGGACGAAAGGGCCACCAAAGAAGTTCACAAGGAACCAGCACTCTGAGTATCTGCAAGCTTCCCTTAATAAGCTTCCCTAAATAAGCAGTGTCCTTCCTGGAAGCCAATACTGGTTTCGTTTATGGACAGCCCATTGCACCATCTGGAAGTCTTTTTGCAGGCACCCAAAATGAGGAAGAAAGGTGGCTTTTAAGGCTATTACTCTGTTGCTGTTTCAGACACAGGTCAAGTCATTCGCTGAACTTTAAAAATGAGAAAGAAAACTCCACAGGCTATAATCTTACAATTATGAGGCTGGTGCTTTCAATTCCTCTTAAAGGAAACTCAATCATCTTGTGGAACGTGTGTGTGTGTGTGTGTGTGTGTGTGTGTGTGTGTGTGTGTGTGTTTTGACATTAACAGATAACATATCATTCCAGGGCCATTTTGCTCACGATATGCCCTCTGGATTGATGGGGAGCAATTGTGTCATATTCTGAGGGGTGCCTCTCATTCCCTGGGGCCTTCTCATAGCCACAGATATTTATTTTTTTAAAAACTATCCTTCATCAAGGTTGGTGGGACAAAAACTGGAAGAAGCAGGAAGAGACATGATGGTCTAAAATTAGGCCAAACTCTTGTGGCTGCTAAAAGCATAAGGGTTTTAAAAAAGCACTTAGAAAAGCAATTATTTAAAAAATTAAGCCTATTTTTTCCCGTTTATAACACCATTGTAACACTGCTTGTGTGCCCTAACAGTAGGTAACCATTGCATTTCAAATTAATTAATTGTTGCAAATGTACCTGTTTGACCATATCCCTTTCCCTCAGTGTCATTATAAATGGAACTTAGCCCTGCAGCCTTGCTGAGAGTGCCCCCTATAGATGGGTACGGACTGTTGGTTTGGCAGTTCAACGTGGTTCATTTCCTGGCCAAACAGCTGATCTGTGGTTTGGTGTCTCACTCCCTCCAACGGGTACCCACTCAGCAGCAGCACCCTGCCTCCTCTGGGCTCTGTCACTGGAAGAAGCAGGGCACTGAACTGTGGATCAGCTGTTCAGCTGAGAAATAAACTGTGCCAAACCGCCAAACAAGTGGTTCATGCTGATCTCAAGTACCCACTCTTGTTGTAAAAGCTGTATGGAACTTCCCACTGTTCAATAACAAAGAGGGAAGTGAAAACATTTCATTGTGAGCAGCATGGACTGACACCATTTTTCTTTGGTATGCAGATGCCATGTTTTCCCCCCTACACTCCACGGACTGATCTTTTATCTGGGCTTTGCTGACGGGACGGAGGCAGGTGATTTTGGCCACCATTGGATTCTTCTCCTGCACTTCCCCGAGTGACTCCACGGCTTTCTTGACTTGCTTTTTCCACACTATCTGTTTAGTCTGGAGTTGCCCTCCTTTGGCCACTCGCACCTTATGGAGCACCCATATAGCATCAGTGTTCCTTTGTTGTGATCCAGTGTTTCCAGCATAATTTGTGGTTTTAAAAAAAATTCGGAAAGCTGTGGCAGTGGCAGGTGGGGCAAAGAAAGCACTCTTCACATGTCCCTGAGCTTCTGTGCCTTCTCCATCCTTTCTGCCAGCTGGGAGTCATTCTTGCATCCAGCTGATCTAAATTACCATGTTTTTCATCACAATCCTCAGATTTGTCTCTTGAAGGACTGATCTAAATTGACCTATTGTCAGTTTCTCAATCTCTCTCTCTCTCTTTCTGTCCTCCACAGCTTTCAATGATAGGTTTGTTTTTTTCCTAATTTCTGCAAGGGGGGAAGGTATCAGGTTGGGAGGGAAAGGGGAACAAGTGACAGCAAAGAAGGGAAAGAAGAAAGAGAGAAAAGAAATAATGCAGAGGGGAAATGGAGTGCAAAGAAGGAGGAGAGAGAGAGAGAGAGAGAGAGAAGAAGAAGAAGAAGAAGAAGAAGAAGAAGAAGAAGAAGAAGAAGAAGAAGAAGAAGAAGAAGAAGAAGAAGAAGAAGAAGAAGAAACACTTTAGGATAGGGTTGTGGGGGATGCATAGCCTCCTCCCTCAATCCTGGCAGCCCCATGGGACAATGAATTGAGTACTGTTCCTCTATTGACAAAAGGAAAATAAAAAACAGCATCATTATTCGTGCCTTCCCCCAGTGGGTAGAGAAACTGACTTTGGATCAATATAAAGATGCTGTAAAATAATAATTCCCAGTCAGAGTCAATACAAAGCTACAAAATGGCAAACTGGGGGATTTCAGGATTATGTTGACTTTTCTTGAGTGGATGACACTTCTGAGTAAAACATTATAAAATTATATTGTTCTTAAGGAAGCGCAATGCTGTATCTTATATTACAAGTGGTATATAAAGGGCTGGGTGGGATCTTTATATTTAAAGTTCCATTTCCAGCTGATGTTAGAAAGGTAATGTCCCAGTTGTACTGATAAGTATCCTTTTTCGCTTTCCAGCTGATGTTAGAAAAGTAATGTCCCAGCTGTACTGATAAGCATCCTTTTTCGCTGAAATCTGTCTGCACCACTTGCTTGCCTCTGACCAACTAGCACACAGCAAACAAGATTCAATAAATTTTGCTTTTCTGATTTATGTCTTGTGCTGCTTCCACAGAGATTTGACCCATCGATGGATTTTCAGTGGTGGGCTGCTTCAGTTGTGACAGAGGGTGTGATCAGACAGCAAGAAAAGCATGTGCCCCATCACAGCTGAAAGGGCCACTTTGCAGGGAGCAATTTCCCTTAAAGTGACCCTTCCATCACTTTTGACTTCAAAAAGTACTAGCTATGCAATTGGACCAAAAAGGTTCATATTGGGCATGGATCAAGGTTGGGCTGGAGGCAATTTCCCTTAAAGTGACCCTTCCATCAATTTTGACTTCAAAAAGTACTAGCTATACAATTGGACCAAAAAGGTTCATCTTGGGCATGGATCAAGGTTGGGCTGGAATGCAATTCTCCATATGTCATGAGAAATAAATTGCACCAGACCACTTGATAAGCAGTCCAAAATATTATCTATTTCCACTGGTAACCACACCCATGTGTTAACTTAACTAAGTAAACAGAGCTCTTCCTTATATGGCCTTTCCCTTATCTAGGTGCTTTCTAGATGTTTTGGATTACAACTCCAATCAGATTCCAGCCAGCCTGGTCAATGGCCAAGAGTTCTGGGAATTGAAGTCTAAAACATCCACTGGGCACCAGTTTGGGCAAAGGCTGGTTTCATATGTTGAAGCTCCTTTTGTACAGGAATCTGGATAGCAGATTACAAACCTGGGAGCTTAGGGGTATCCGTGAGAATTTAGCTGGAGTTTTGACCAAAGGAGGTAAGTCATGGGTGTTTGTGATTTGGGTTGTGGTCACTTGAGTCTCAGAGGGCACAGGGTCAACCCTTGGCATGCCATAAGCCACTGAGGTTCTAAGTCCTTTCCTCTCTGTTGAGTTGTAACTGGTACCTCGGGCAAGAAAATATGTGTCCCAGATCAACTTTGTCATTCAAGAAATTAAAAGTAGCTAGAGCACGGAGCTTCTTATCAGCATCTCCCCTCCTCTGGATAGCTCAGTGGTTTAGACATCTGGCTTGGGAGTTTGATTCCTCATTGTGTTTCCTTGATAGAGGCTATACTTGATGATCCATAGGTCTTTTCCAGCTCTGCATTCTGAGATTCTAAGTACAAAGTTCACAGACCATAACTGTATCCTCTAAGGGGAAGGAGCTGTCAGAGCTTCAGAAAAAACTCAAAAGTGTATGTGTGGGAGCAGGGGAAGAGATTGTTAGAGCATAGCATATACATTTAAATGGACTTTCTGTGTTCATTCAAGAGGATCTGTCTACTGAACTCCAAGTATACCAGTTCTTCCTGCAAGTTTCAGGTACACCTGACTGGATGTTGCTTCCAGGAGCTTTATCTACCAAGCTCATGGTAGACTTTCCCTTCACTCCTCACTCCAGTATACAGACCATCTTCTCCTCCCCTAGAAGACTGGTCTACTGTTATCTTTCCACTGGTGGTAGATCAGGCTGTCAAAGTCTGGGGGAACAGGTGCACCCTCTAAATTTGGCACCTTGGGTTGAAGCATTGTTCACACCACCCTAGTTAATATCCTTTCTTCCCATGACTAGGGAGAGGGGCTCATTTCTTCTCTGTCTTGTGTGTAAATAGCTGCTCAATGTCCTCCAAAGGTACTGTCTTTTTCTCCCACTTCCACCACTCTTTTATAGCAAGGTGTATCCTAGCTGCTGCCTCAATTCATGTCTCCTTCCTTTTCCATAATACTGGCCAGTGTTTCTGTCCCCCATTATCTGCACACCATGTTTTTAATTGCAGGTATGCATCATTCTGTATCCCAGAGCTATGTCACAAAGAAGAGCCCAAACAACACCAGTAGCTGTGTTGATCTATATTGTTCCATACTAATTTTCACCTAAACCAGATGCAGGCCTTTTGTAAAATGCATTGGTTTTTCATTTCCCATTCAAGACCAAGCTGTTCTAAAATGTTTCAAGTTATTAACTGGAAGAGCTCCCAGCACTATAATTCTGCTGGAAGACTTTACCCCTTCTCCCTCCTCCTTATGGTGAGAATCTGCCAGCATTTTCTGATGTGGGACTGGAGGGCAAATTAGTATGCTACCATAGCTTATATGCATAATGCACAGCACTGCAACACACTGTATTGTTCATGTGCATTAAAATAAATACATGATTCAGGGGGATCAAATGCCCTCTTGCCCACTCCATGTAGACCTCCATGGCTGCAGATGACATCATTATCCCTGTTAACATCCTAGGGCTTGGGCCGTGTGAGCCCTGCCTCCACTGTGTCCCTAGCTAACCACCTTCCCAGGTTCTTCGTCATTCTCCAATCCTTTCAGGAGATTTTTTTAAAAACTTACAGACTGACCTAGCAGGACATCATGTTGGTAGCACCTTGTCTTTCTTATCAGCAGTGGACATTCAATGAAGCCCACTGAAGTCCTGACTCTAGACAGGAGAAACTTGCAGGAAAGTCTCATTGAGCTGTAAAAGCCACACAAAAATTTAACAGGGCAATGATGGGCCAAAGCCAAGACTGAGCTTATTTCTGTGACCAAACGAATTGATGCAACCCGTCCCAACACTCCCAGTGTGGTTTCAGGCTTTGCCGCTGTCTCATAACTCTCACTAGCAGCAGGGGCTGGCACACAGGGCGGGCAGACCTTGTTAACAGTACCACCTGCCACACCACTTTCTTGCCTCCAGCAAATCTTCTCCTCTTGCTGGTGACAGCCAGCTTTAGTCAGACCACCAGGCCTGCTGAGATCCTGGATTTTCTCTGCCCTGATAAATGTGTCAGATGCCTCTCCTAAAATGTGTTGCCATGGCTTCGCTGTGCCTACAAGCTGGGGGAAAGGGGCTAGGCAGGAGGAAGAGCAAAACGCTCAGCAAACACCCTCCCCAAGAAGGCCCCTTCTGTTTCCCCATTGACATTGTGGTGTATGTGATAATATTATCAGCAGACGGGATGATGGTCAGTATTTATAATACTTGCCAGTGAACATATCTTTGGGAGAGCTCAGGAATGTTATTTTCCTGGACTATAACTCCCAGAATTATATAGCCAGCATGGGAAGGAGGGTTCTGGGAGTTGTAGTCAAAAAGTGTAGCTTCTTTAAATTCTGGTCTTTGTTTTCAGGCTGTAAAGCAGCTTGTAGAACTCTGTAGTGCAAAACAAGCATCCCTGTGTTAAGCTTGTTGGAAATGGGAAGGGTCTGAAGGATTATCTTGTGGCACGTTCCCAGGAAATGCAAGCTAAATATGCTCTTTATGTCTCACAGCTTCGTAGCGTCCTGCTTCAGGCACAGCAGTGATAGAGCAGTTATTAGAAATGAGCAAGGTCAGTAAAAACACTGAGATCAACATGCATTTTCTTTTATATTCTTAATGGTGGGTCAAAGGTATCACCTGCTTCTGCATTTGTAACATTGCCAAATTTCAGACACAGTGGTTGACATGACAAGCAAAGTGTGAATGCACTCCAAACACAGGCGGAGTCAGGAAAGAGCTGCGCACTTGAGGAACCTACAAGTCCATGAGCTGGTGCAGAGACATGAGACATACTGAGACTTCAACAATTCAAAAATACTCACCAGGATCTGAGGAGAGCACTTTAACCTGACACCCTCCATTTCCAGTTTTGTTTCTTTCCTATAATAATAATAACAATAATAACAATAACAATAACAATAACAATAACAACAATAATA